GTTAAGTGTCAAGTTTGACGTGCTCTTGACCCTGTACTAAAGTTAATTTGTATGAATAGATACCCCATGGACTTATGTAAATATTGTAACGTGCAACTAGATACGAACAAAGAACAGTCTCGGGAACCACTGCAGCTACCCTATCCTGAGATGGGCAGGCGTCCTAGTTTTAACCCGGCGCTTTGTTAACTTTTGTTAACGGCTTAAATAAATTTAAAACCCGTTAACGCCCGAAATCGACGGCAAAAACTATTTAGAACTAAATATTTGTATAGAGTTTTGTTAAAATTTTGTGATATTATTACAAAAGTTGTTTTTTCGATTTGCTTTTCTGTTGGATCGATTCGCTTGAAAATCGCATTGATATAAATCGATACAAAAAAATGGTGTCGTAATTTACATCCTTAGTAGTGAGAATCCACAGGATTGGAAGGTCGATATCGTTTGGCCTTTTTTTCGTCTAAAATAGATTTTTTTACATCGAAATTTGTAGTATAGAATTATTCAGTTGAGTGTGTGCGTTATTATTAAAAAAAAAATTATTATTATTATAATTCACATTTATCTGAAAACTTGAAAATTGCCCAGCGGTTTAACGCCACGGCGCGCCGCGCCGCCCGCTGCCTCGTCTGTCGCCATTGGGCGCTTGTCAACATGGGATCTGTGTCAAATTTTCTCCGCCTGTTCTTGTTTTATTCACATTAATTTTAAGCGCGCAGATTGCGTCACGTGAGAGGCGGTAAAATACAAAATCGCCTTAAACAAACTTAGTACCTAATGGCAATTCTTCTATTGCAGAAACTACAAATGAAGTGGACGAGTTAAAATGCAATTTATGTGAAAATATTATAAAAGGGTAAGCAACACTGATTTATTTATGTATAGAATTATTATTATTTTTCAATTAGGCACCTCTACACATTAATGGTACGATGTTTTGGCGATCAGCATTTGTGATCGGACAAAACGAGCAAATGTGTAAGCAACAGACGATCGGCATCGGTTTTCATATGGCGCCATCTCCGAGATCCCGGTTTCGATCCTCGCCCGGGTCAATGAAGGAAAACTAACTTTTCTATTTTGTCTTTTTTTAATATAATAATTTCAAGTCACGGGGCTAACAAGTCGAGCGCCTGATGGTAAGTTACACGTCTATCCATAAGAATTGCAGTGCCACTCAGACCTTTGATCTGACGGACACTGATACTGCGCCCGACATCCTGAGACATAAATTGACAAGTCCCATGTGCCTGTAATTTCACCAGCACCCTTACCCTTCAAAACCGGATCACAGTAATGGTCACATTACCGCTTGGCGGCAGAAATAGGTAAGATGGCAGTACTACCCTGGACGTACTTTTTCACAAGGAGCTCTACTGCTGTCTCGGGTCCATAACATAAATGCTTTAGTTATTTACTTTGGGATCAGAGCAACTAACCTTCATATTATAGACCGCTAACAGACGACAGTGACGATTAAAAAATCGAGCAAATCTGCGTAGGCATACTTGGTACTTGGTGTAACGGGCTGGTGTCCGCAACTCGACGACGTACGTCTAGGCGCCTATTGTACGTGTGTAATCTGTAGGCATATATATAACACTTCCCTATTAACTTTTTTATATAAAAAAACTGACTTTAAAAGTTCGTGGAATTTACATCTATTTGCAAAGTTTTAATGAAATCAGTAACCGGAAAGTGCGCGAAATCGGATTCATCCCCTGGTTTGCCACCCTTAGAGGTGGAATATTTCCTTCTAATTTAAATGGGTTCAATACTGAGGTACCCTCTTTTTAACAAAAAAAGAATCAAATTTCTATTGAATTGATATTCAATTATTTTTTGTGAAATTACTCCATTAGTTTGTTATAATTATTAATACAAAGATCGAACACTTAGAATTGAATATTAATTCAATACCAATTAAATTACAGTTAATAGCGACATCTCTAGCCAGTGCTGGTAGCTGTAAAGTTATTTAACAGGGTGACGAAATACCTTTATAGATTTCTCATAGATGGCGCTACGGCTAAAAAGTCGTTGAAAAACCAAAAACAAAGATCCGATAGCAAGCACATAGAAAAAATCGTGAGGTCCGCTGGTTCGTTCAGTGGCTTAGTTGGCATAGCTTCTGGCACGGTTTGCTAGCACACGTCGGTTCTAATCCGGTCGGATCGAAGGACTTTTTTCAAAGTGTTCGATCTTTGTATTAATAATTATAACAAATTAGTGCAGTAATTTAATATAAAAAGAATTGAATATCAATTCAATAAAAATTTAAAAGAATTTTATTTTATTTATTTATTTATTACTAACGATATTTATTTAACTTTAGTTGAATTATTAGACTTTTACTGCAACAAATATGTAGTAAATTGCGATTATAATAAATCCACAATATCTCCCGCAGTGGGTTCCGGTACTCGTGCGTCCAGTGCCCCGACTTCGACCTGTGCGGCGCGTGCGAGGCGAAGGGCGCGCACCGGATGCACTACGTGCTCAGGTCGCCTGGCACCAAGGACGTCGTGAGTCCATTATCACTTCGTTCGTTTCAGTGCTTTAAATCACAAAGATCTGAGAGGTACTGCCACTGCACCCGTCATCCTGAGACATAAGTTGAAAAATCCCATGTGCCTGTAATTTCACCAGCACCTAAAGGTAAACCTTTTAAAACCGAAACACAGTAATGCTCACATTACCGCTTGGCGGCCATCAAGTATATAACCAGAAATGGAGACGAAATAAGGACCATCCATGTCTGGCAATTCATTAGGTAAATGGGCGTTATATCACTTTTAAATATCAACTCTCGTTTGCGCTGAAATCACAAATTAGAAAGCTGAAATAGTACAGCGCCAACAACTTACCTGTTAAAGCTAATATCTTTAACAATAGGGGGTGTTCCATTCGGTGGTGTGGGAAAAACAGCACAACATTTAATTACAAAACAAATGGAATCACATTAATTCATCGGTAATTAAATATTAAATTAGGTAATTTTTCAATTTTCGTCCATTGTAGCAAAGCTCAAGTTAAATTGGTCGTTTTGAAGTGAAACATTTGACCCGTCAATTGTTTCGAATTCGGGCTTGCCTATCGGGGCGCAGTTGTCACCGTAATGATATGGCAGACTAGTTTTCAAACAAATTAAATGACACTTCTTCTCTATTTTTGGTTATATACTCGATGTTGGCAACAGAAATGGGTAAGGTAGCAGTTTTAGCCTTTTTTTACGTGAGGAAATCCTCATGGGTACCTCTCTGCTACGGGAGCAATAGGGAGATTATGTCGGACTCCTACCGACTAAAACCCCACGACCTTTTGCCGGGACTACGGGAACGCTTTCGCACTCTTCCGCGGTCCCGATGGCGCTGGCCCTCGGCCGAGGGCCTTTTCCCGTTGGGGTGGAGCTGGGGAAACACCACTCACAGACATTCGGTTGTCGGTTCCCTTCAGGCTATACGACACAGGTACTTTCCGAAGCATCCATGCCCGGAAAGCACCTGCACCAGCCGGAAAGTCAAGGACCCATGCGCCCTGTCCATCCAGTTTTCAAAAACCGGACGGATAGCCTCCACGGTCCTGCTCCCGGCTTTGGGTTGGACCAGGCGCTCCCTATACTTTCTAAGCAGGGACTGACGCGCATGAAACTTGTATACCTGCACTTCCTCCAGCGTGGGATCCTCGACACGGAGACGGGGGTCAATGCGCCATTGATACATGGCAGCATAGACCTCCGCCTACAAATCCTAAGGAGGAGACCCCGCTGACAAGCACGCCGCCTCATAGGATATGGTGCGATATCCTCTGATAACCGCGGCCGCCATCACCCTCTGAGATCTCCTCAGGAGTGCGATATATTTTTCCGTAAGGGCGTCAGACCATACGCCAGCCCCATATAGTGCCATCGAGCCATCGAGCGCAGAGCAGTACATCCCTGGGCGATCTCTTTCACAAAGAGCTAGAAAGTTTTATTGAAATCAGTTAACGGAAAGTGGGTGAAATCCAATAAACAGGATTCATCCCCTAGTTTGCCACTTTTAGAAGTGGAGTATTGTCTTCAAATTTGACTGGGACCTCTATTGAGGTATCCCCTTTTCAATAAAAAAGAATTCATGAATTCGGTTCACAAAATTTTAATGTCGGAGTAATTGCGTGACATACACAAAAAAATACAGTCTAATTGAAAACTCTCCTTTTTGGAAGTCGGTCAATTTCAAATTTCGATCAAAAATTTATTTGACTAACTCAAGTGATACATACAACGAAAGAGAATTTAATTGAAAAAAAAAAGAAACAAAGGGAAAATGAATAAAAGCATTTACGCGTATTTATCTATCTAATATTTACGTCATCCATCTCGGTGACGTCAGCCACTTAAATATTTATAAAACATAATCTCAGTACAGAGTATTAAAAAACCGACCTCAAAAGTTCCTGGAATCACTTCTATTTGCCAAGATTTATTGAAATCGGTTACCGGAAAGTGCGCGAAACGGGATTCATCCCCCAGTTTGCCACCCATAGAGATGGAATATTTTCTTCAAATTAAAATGGGACCAATGCTGAGATACTACCCCTTTTCCAAAAAAAAAAGAATAATCAAAATTGGTTAAAAATATATAAAAAACAAAAATACAGTCGAATCGACTTTTTTTGAAGGCAGTTAAAAATCACAAACAAAACAAAAATTAAAATTAAAACAGATTATTTACATAAACATAAACAAATACACTAAGTATAAAAATACTTTGTGTAGTGTCAGCTGCAGTAACAATAGGGTCACTATTTCAATAATAACTTCCCTTATATTACCCGTGGGGCCTTACAATGATATGAAGATTCAGTTTAGGACCTAAAATAAATCATTGTGAGACAGCGCTACATGAAGTGTATATCGCCATCCCGCTTTTTTGTCGTTACGAACCTATACTGAACTGTAATAAGAGTTCATTGTAATGCCCCTTCTCTTTGCTAATTCACTATTTGCTGTTAATCGAAATGCGTTTCTCTGATTTTCAGTTAGACTTTGTGTATAGTCACGGAACAATATACGCAAGCGTACTTACTAAAATAAACAATAAAATATTTTCATGTTATTGCTTCTCATTGTGAGACAAAAGTTGCTTAAATTGCTTGTGGTGATTCAAAATCAAATAATGTTTATTTCGTAGATAAGCAAATCATCACTTGAAACCGTCATATTCATTAAACCCTGCTCATTCATAAGGCAGATTCCCTTGACAAGAATGAGCGGGAAACTCTAAGGGTTGCTCGTTGTAAATGTACATTTGAATACATTTATCATTACAATATTTATTTCAAACATCTTAGATCGACTAAACTATACGAGAAGCTGCATAATAGACCTTTGGTATAAACTTTTTGTAAATGTCGTAAATAGCAAATTTTGAACATCATTCGAAATAATTGTTATACAAAGATGGAACACTTAGAAAACATTCCTTCGCAGAGCTGGTAGCTGTAAAGTTACCTAACTGGATGACGAAATACTTTCATATATTTCTCATAGATGGCGCTACGCCTAAACAGTCGTTGAAAACCAAATACAAAGATCCGACAAACAAGCACATAGAAAAATTAGCTGGTTCGTTCCATGGCTTAGTTGGCATAGCGTCTAATACGGTTTGCTAGAAGGCGTCGCTTCGAATCCGGCGGATCGATTTTTTTCTCAGTGTTCGATCTTTCTATTAATAATTATGACAAACTAGTGGAGAAATTTCACAAAAAATAATTGAATATTAATTCAATACAAATTTAATCAACCGGAGTCTTATTATAGAAGCGTACACATTGCCTCTTAATTGAATTGTACAGAGCGAAGTGCAGTTGATGCTACGTCTGTTCCGGCAGGCGCTGCTGGTCGACTCCATCGTCCCGCTATTTGACCACTCCGACCGGTAAGTACGCTTCTAAAGTTAATTTCACGGCAACTCACCATAGACATTGTTAACGCGGCAGCGTTATCTTATTTTTTGAACACGCTCACATTCACGATTAAAACTTCTCCAGAAATAAAACCGATTGTTATAAAAAATCGAATCGGAAACGCATTAGGACATCATTAATTGATTACAATTCGAGTTGTCAAAAGTAAAACAAATCGTTGGATCTTAGGCTATGGAAACTAAAGAACATATACAAATCATTATGTTGACATATACAAATCAGACGTTATTATGTATATGATGCATTTCGACGTTGAAAACAAAAACATGTTATTGTCTTTGTTTAACTCTTGTGTGCCGTCTTAAGCCAAAAGAGGTAGCATTGCATTGGTCTGTGTCAAACACGGGAATCGAAAATACGTAACGTCATCTTAAATGCCAACCGTGTCCATTTCGCAGTACATGAGGTACATGATACGGTGGTCAAAGGGAAGTATTAAATGTCAAAACAAATGTTTTTCCAAGTGTTTTATTGAATTATTCGCATGTATTGTAATTAAATGGATAATAATATTGACAGTGAGAACAAGAACAATTAAGTATTAATAAAAATTCGTCGCTGCAGCATTACGGGATGTGGCATTTGAAAAAGCGAAGATCGACCGAATGTCACATGTTACAGGCACGTGTTATTTTTCTGTCTATAAATCACACAAAAGCCCAAATATCTCATGTAATTAGACATATTTAAGTAGTTTATTCATAAATCTTGCCCAATTTTGCTTTGGTTTCTTCAGATTGCCTGTTTGTTTGTATATTTTGATGAATGTTGTTAACGATTATTTTGAGATAGTGTTGTTCTTGGAAGCGTACATATTATCGATATTCTGTTATTAAAATAATGCACTACGAGATTTTTATTATTATTATTTTTACTGTTTCAAGTTTACCTACAAATCAAAAAGAAAAAAGAATGGTTGGAAAACTTACCGCCGTATAATAGTACCGAATATAAACATTGAATCAAAGACCATCTTCATTTATTTGCTTCATTTTGAAGGGTCAAATTTTAACACAACTTTGAGTGCAACTAGATTGCATGATAATGCAATTCCATCATTAGGTTAATTGGTAAATAATTTTATATTTAATTTAGATTAAACAAGACTCATTTACTAGGCATTCTCAGTCCCTGAAAGCATAATTATCCACTCGTTTCCGATTTTTTCCCACTGACAACTCTACTACTAAAACTAACTACTAAAAATTCTTATTCTATAAACCCAGCAATACAAAGACCATGTTGGTCTAACGTTGCCGGGTGAAGGCCAATACCAACGAATAGACAGCCTACTTGCCTTGCCTTGCCATCGTTCGGTGTCATTCGCCTAGCTGACCGAGTGAAGGCGAGCGCTAACGTGTATAGAGCTCGTTTGACGTGGCTTGTCACAACTCGCAGTCGCTCTTGACTACTTTTCTCACTTCGGAGAAGTGTCGATTTTTCTGCACAAATCAAAGGTGCTCGGCCAATAGTAGTCAATTGACTATAATCATTGTCATCATATACAAATTTAGTATAATCAGACATTTGCATGCTATTTGGAGCATAATAAATAAAGAGTCAGGCAGGGTTAAACTACACGATAGAGATATAGTTTTAGAATTAGACAGCAAACTTATAAAATCTAAAGATAAAGTAGCCCAAGCTTTTGAATCGTTCTTTTCGGAAATTGCTGTGAACACTACAAAATCATTAAATTCCTACCCTTCACTTGCTATTGATCTCCTAAAGGAAAATGTTAACGTTTGTGGCAGTTTATTTAATTTTCGTCATGTTAATCCACAAGACATCATAAAAGCTTTTAAGTCAATACATGTTAAAAAAACTGAAGATCTCTGGGGCATATCAACTAAAGTTATAGACTCAGTTATTAATCTCATTTCCCCACAGTTAGCTGTAGCTTTCAATAGGTGCGTTGACGAAGGTGTTTTTCCCGATTTAATGAAATACAGCAAGGTTATTCCCTTATTCAAAAGCGGTAGGAAAGTTGATCCTAGCAACTATAGGCCCATTTCAATTTTACCAGCTTTAAGTAAAATATTCGAAAAGGTTATGCTAACTCAATTACTGTCCTTTTTCGGTAGGAATCATATTTTTCATAGTGAACAATACGGGTTTACTAGTGGTAGATCGACTAGCGATGCGGGGGTAGCGTTACTAAAACACATCTTTGATGCTTGGGAAAGGTCCCAGAACGCTATTGGTGTTTTCTGTGACCTCTCAAAGGCATTTGATTGCGTTGATCATAATACTCTTATTAGGAAGCTGGAACATTACGGTGTAAATGGCAAGGCGTCGAAACTTGTCTCGTCATATCTCAACGGTAGAATTCAGAAAGTAGACATAAATGGAGTAACTTCTTTGGGTTCTCCAGTAAAAATGGGTGTTCCGCAGGGCTCAATACTTGGACCTTTCTTATTTCTGATTTATATTAATGATCTGCCATTCTTTGTTAAGGACCATTGCGAAATAGTGTTGTTTGCTGATGACACATCCTTGATTTTTAAAACAGATAGACATGACATTAACTATGACCGTATTAATGATACCCTCTCTAAGGTAGTTTATTGGTTTAATGCTAACAATTTATTGCTTAATGCCAAGAAGACAAAATGTGTTAAATTTGAATTACCTAACGTAAAATCGACTAGTCCAAGCATAGAAATAAACGGAGAAAAGTTAGACCTTGTTAATAAAGCAGTCTTCTTGGGAGTGACCTTAGATAGTAAACTTCAGTGGTTTCCACATATATCGTCCCTGGCCAGCAGATTAAGCTCCGCTGCATACGCAGTCCGCAGAATACGTGAGCTTACCGATGTTAGTACTGCTAGACTAGTTTACTTTAGTTACTTCCATAGTATAATGTCCTACGGGATTCTCATGTGGGGTAAAGCGGCAGATATTCAAACCATATTTGTATTACAAAAACGAGCGATTCGTTCTGTGTACCGTCTAGGCTCTCGGGTATCTCTCAGAGCAAAGTTTAAGGAGACTGGTATCATGACTGTGGCATCACAGTACATTTACTCAAATATTTTATATGCCCGTAAAAATATACATAATTTCAATAAGAAAGAAGATATCCATAATATTAACCTTAGAGCTAAGTCCAAACTCATGGTACCACGATTTCGTTTAACCAAGGTAAACAACTCTTTTATGGGGAACTGTATACGTTTTTACAATAAGATTCCGGAGCATATATTAAGTTTATCATTTCCTAAGTTTAAAAACTACATTAAAAATATTTTGATCGAAAAATCATATTACAAAATTGAAGACTACGTGTTAGATAAAGATGTATGGAAAGACGACATGGCTCCAGAATCCACACAAATTTGATTCAAAATGTATTCCATAGCATTTAAGTTTATTTGAAAAGAGCAATCCCTAGAGTTTCTTGCTCGTTCTTCTCAGGGAGGTCAGCGTAGTGAACGAGCAGTACCTTAAATGTGACGTTTTCAAGTGTAAATTTATTTTACCTATGGAATAAATCATCTTTGACTTTGACTTTGACTTTGACTTTGACTATTTAATATATGCGAAACATGTTTATACTAACACTGTCTCTTGTTACATCTCCTGTTATATACCATGTTTTAATTAAATAAACGTATAATAGTAATATTATTATTGATAATATTACTACTTTCATTTATTTCCAAAATTAAATGGAAGTATTAAAGATTCACTTAAATCAGTCACTGATATTAATTCTATACCAATGCATAAATACAAAAAAGCTTACACAATTTGGGAAACTGTTTAAAAATTTATCTTTGAAAATATGAATCTTGAGGTTGGAAATGTATAGGATTTATATTTCAAAGTTTTCTCTTTTTTATATATACTCTCAAATTACAAATATTATTTTTTTCTGTGCAAATTCACTTTTCGTAATATTTGAGTATTTGTAAACACAAAACAATAAATTCAAAATTTCATGTGACATTCCCGGATATTCCCACATAACCTAAAATATTCGCAAATGGAATATTGATCTACTTTAATTAAATGTTTGTTAGTCAATAATGACTTTTCGATAGATTATGGTACGACACTAAAAAATCCGCCATTTGTTCGTTAAATTTTTGTTTAGGTATGCACGTTCATTGCGTAGTTAGGGTAGCCTATACATGTGTATTGTAGTCCTTTCTTTTATTTTTTTCCATCTCCTAAGGGTTGGACGGAGTATCGACGTTGCTAAACTACTTTTTTTGCAGACCAATAGAAATAGTAATGATTCAATATGGATTCAGAAAGGGACTGTTTTGTTTAAATTAAGAGTGCTATCTAGACGATTCGATTCGCCTTAATATAGAATCGATTTACTTAAAAATCGCATTGAAATGAATCGATACAAAAAATCGTTAGATCGTATACACTTGAATCGATCTTAATAATGTGCATCCACTAGCAGAACGTACCGCTGCACAAAATGCACGTGTTACCTATTCCTACAATACAATTTTTGTATAAAGTTGAAAAGTGATTAAACCACATTGAATAGCCCCCTTTACACATTCACTCTATCACTCGTGATCAGAAGCGTGCAGGATATAGCGTGTGCGATTACCTGTTTGAAACTTTTTAAGCTAACGTTCTTTCGCGCGTGATTGCTCGTGTTCGTTTTTGTTACAACGGAAAGAGCGTCCGTGTAAACGCAATCACGCAGGATAGACCGCGTGAAACTGGCGCGTGTTAGAGTGCGTGATTTTGCGGTCTTTCCCGTTTCGTTCCAAAACGTCTTTACACGCTCGCTCAATTGCTGTATCATGCGCGTTAGTGTGACTATTTCCAAGTAGTCGTTAATTTTCTTCGCCCGGCCTTTTCAAGCATCAATCGGGAATGTCTAATATTGATCGATACCTGTTTCCTCTTCATTTATTTTTTATTTGTACTCAGGTTGCAAAGACCCATAAATACATACCTTACAGACTAACATACATAATAATACAATAAAACACTCATATAATATATACCTTAAGGAATAACATACATACAATATAATAAAACACTATTTCTAACTAATCTACACGAATTGCACTTGTCGGCGACGTGTGGTGCAATCTGGTGTCAGGTAACCGGCCGCGGAATCGCCGATACGTGACACCCTTCGGCCAAAACTTTTCCTTCATGAAGGTCGACAGATGTTCGGTCGGTACTCTCACCACAAACGAATTAAAATTTACGCTGTGGCGCGACTCCAACCGCTCGACTCTCAGGGTGTATTTGGCTTTATGTCTGATGTACTCCACTATCTCCTCAGACTTCTTACAACACAAAACGTGCACAAGGTAATGTCAGCCCTCATAATAATAATGATATTTTTTTTCGCCGTTTCAAATCAACCGTTTAAACTACTTTTCCAAAACATCCAGAGTCTCTACAATAAGCAACACATACTGGAATCATTTATACAGGAGCACCCAATATATAACGCTATATGCATCACTGAAACCTGGCTTACTGAAGAAAAACTTAAACTACTAACATTAAATGGCTATAAGGTTGCAGCGTCGTATTGCCGAAGCACCCGAGGAGGTGGCGGCGTTTGTATTATGCTTCAAGATCAATTTGAAAGTATTGAGAGAGAAGATATAACAAATATGTCAAAAGAAAATAAACTAGAATTATGTGCGACTGAATTACCCAAAGAAAATATCCTATTAATTACATTATATTGGAATAGAAGAGAAGAAGAGGTGTTTTTCAAAAAATTGGAAGAAATATTAATTTATATAAATTTTAGATTTTAAGGATTTCAATATTAATATTTTAACACGAAGTCAAAAAACAAATCAACTATTGGAACTAATGTTGGAGTACAAGTTAAATCAGCATATAAACCAACCAACACGAGTAACTCAAACTGCAGCAACATGCTTAGACCTCATATTTACGAACTTTCATCACGACAGCTTACTAACCACTGTAGAAGAATTCGGGTTCTCTGACCATATTGGAACAATCTTACATATGAATCTTCCTCAACGAGCACGCAGAATAAGCTGGAACATGGAGAAAAGATTGTTTAATGAAACGAACATACTAAAGTTTAAATTACAACTTGCTAATGTAAATTGGCACGAAATTAAATCACCAAATGGAGATATAAACGAAAATTATAACGCATTTCATAATAAATTAATAAAAACTTTAAACTCTTGTATACCTAAAAAGAAAATAAAATTTAGGACTTGTTTTAAAAAATATTGGCTTACAACAGGTATAAAAATATCTTGTCGAAATAAAAGGTTACTAAAAATATTGACGTTACATTCTAATAATAATAAAATAATAAAAAAATACTACAAAAAATATGAAAAACTCTTAAAAAAGTCAATAATAGTAGCTAAAAAATTACAATATATAATAAAAATTAAAAATTCATCTAATAAGATTAAAACTATGTGGAATGTTATATATGAGCGTACAAATAAAAAACCATTAAAGAGAAAACAAACATACACTTAAAAATAGATAATATAGTAGTGACAGACCCTCAAAAAAATGCAAATCTCTTTAATGACTTTTTGCTTCAATTGGAGAGAAAAACAGTGACGGGGCAGCCGGCCGCCCTGTGCTCCACCCCACTGAAAATACCATGTTTTTGAGACCTACAGATTGCTACGAAGTGCATAAAATAATAAAAAACCTGAAAAACAAAAACAGCCATGGAATTGACGAACTACCACCTACCCTACTCAGACAGTGTGCCGATGAGCTTACTATACCTTTTACCATGCTTGCCAATCAGTCATTTAATGAAGGCATCTTCCCTGACGCTTTAAAAACGGCTATAATAAAACCAATATACAAGAAAAATGAAAAAAATGACATAAGTAACTATCGTCCCATAGCCCTTTCACCCACAGCTTCAAAAATTTTCGAAAAACTGATGTGTGATCGTGTTTACAAATTTTGTGAAAAATATAAAATATTTTATGACTGTCAAAATGGTTTCCGTAAAAAACGCTCAACTACATTAGCGGTCTACAAATATATACAGGAGGTTCTTAATATTATAAATAAAAAACAGTACGCCGTAGGCATACTGCTAGACATGACTAAGGCCTATGATAAAGTTCAATACAAAATCTTATTACATAAATTACACAGAATAGGAATACGAGGTGTAGCGCATAAGTGGTTCGAGTCCTATTTAAAAGATAGGAAACAATTCGTGGAAATTGAAAACTTTGATCACAACTCTGGTAGAATTGAACATTTTCGATCTAGCTGTAAAGTCGTTAATGCATCTATCCCACAGGGCAGTGTAATTGGATGCCTACTATTCCTCATCTACATCAACGATTTACCTAAAGTTATAAAGGAACATTGCGTCTTATTTGCTGACGATGTATCCTTGCTAACGACATGTCGTAATGATACAGATGTAAATGAACAACTCCATAAAATGCTACAAACAACAACCAACTGGATGACAGATCACAACCTTGACATTAACTTTGAAAAAACCAAAATAATAGCCTTTTATCCGTATCAGAAAAACTCTTTAAATATTAATTTTAGTTTCAACAATGTACATTTAGATCATGTTCAAGAATTTACCTTGCTTGGCTTAGTTTTAGATACACATATTAATTGGAAAGCACATATTCAAAAATTAAGATCTAAAATCGGAAAATTTGCTTATGCACTTCGCGAAACAAAGAAAACAACTAATTTGGAAACCGCGCTCACCACTTACTACGCATATGCCTATGCATGGCTCAACTACGGTGTAATGCTGTGGGGGAACAGCACCGAGTCTCCCTCAATTCTGACCTTACAGAAAAAATTGATAAGATTCCTAGCCAACATTGATGCAACCGAAAGCTGCAAACCCTATTTCCAACAGTACAATATTTTAACTTTACCCTGTATCTACATTTTTGAATCCTGTAAATTTGTCAGAAATTATCCCAATCTTTATAAAAGAAGGCAAGACGTACCTACAAACTATTGTTTTAGACACCAAAACAGACTTATGTTACCAAAATCAACGATCTCTCTCCATTCATCAAGTCCGTTTGTAATGTCTATAAAATTTTATAATAAGTTACCGAACTCCATAAAAGCCATATAAATACCTCACGACAGCAAATTTTAAATCCCATCTGAAAAAAATATTAGTAAGTAAAAGTTACTACCATGTAAACGAATATTTCAATGATAAAGGAATATGTTCCTGATAAGTTACATTAATGTACCAATATACTTACCTGTACTTAATAGAAATACATACATAAATAATAGGCGTAAAAATATTGAGATGTTTGTTATTATTAATTATTTTTATTTGTTTTTTTTTTTCTTTGTTAATGGAATTCATAGACATTTATTGTACTGACAAAATAATAATATTAATAGATTTTATTTGTAATTTAAGAATTGTATGCTTATATAAGTTGTAATTATTGCATGTTTTTTTTGAAGATTTTATTTGATGTTGAAATGTTTATTGATTTAATTTAATTCAAGTAAGTGAAATGTTGCCCTCTCTATGCACATTGGTGTGCCCAACAGGGTCCCAAAGCTCTAATTTAAGCGTGTCCACCTGCTACAAATGTAAACTTTTGGGAATGCAATAAAGAATTGAGTATTGAGTAATGAGTATTGAGTACTTCGTGGAGTAATGCAGTTGTGACAGGTACAGCAGCGTCGTCGGTATGGCCGTACGCAGCAGGAAATTCGGTCCTGTCGATGTAGTGCCACACTAGTTACGGCTGGCGGGCTTCCTCTTCCTCTTCACCGCCTTTATGCCTGACAGACCTAAACAAAGTCTAGTCTATGACGCTCAGTCTTTAGATTTACTCTGACATTATCACTATAATATTTAGTACTAAATATATGATATTTTTTATAATACCAAGTGACGGGACGAACAAGTTGTGCGCCTGATGGCAAGCGACACGCCTGCCCATAACAGTTGCTGTACCACTCAGAGCTTTAAAACGCAAAGATCGGAGAGGCACTGCCGCGGCGCACGTCACCCTTTGACAAGTCCCATGTGCCTGTAAATTCACCAGCACCCTTAACCCTTCAAAACCGGAACGCAACATTCCTGCTTGGCGGCAGAAATAGGTAAAGTGGCAAATACTTCCCTGGACGAACTCTTTCACAAGGAGCTTCACTGCTGCTAAAATATTTTTAATACTGTAATTAATTAATGATACTGAACGTATTATAAACTAATTTTTTAACTTCAAATTAGATCAAAAATAACAAAATTAAATTAACCGACCAGACTTTTGAAAAAAAAAACACTATTATTTTGTGATTCTATTTGTGTTCCGCTAAAATGTGCCGGCGTATGTCCATGTGAGTAAATAGAGGTCTTGTGTGCAGGCTGGAGGGCGAAATCAAAGAAGAAGTCGTGGAGGAACCGCACCACGAACACAGTGAAGAGGACGACCCTCTTTCGTCCGAAATCAACCTTTCTAAGCAGACGCACGGACACGGGAAAGAGGACGACCCTCTTTCGGTCGAAATCGCCTCTCCCGAGGCTACAATACAGGTCTTTATTTCATAAAAAAGTCATTGATTGACCTTAGAGAAATAGCACATTCGGACAAATATTTCGAGTAAAAAAATATTTGTGAATTTTAATTGTATAATGGATATTTTATAAATTTAAAAAAAATCTTAAAATTTATGTACATCCTATCACGCGTTTCCCACTGTGTAGGCAGAGCCTAAAATGTTAGCATTTTCTATCTTAAAAACAGACTTGAACGCCATGCAAAATATGGCCCTTTCCCACCCTTGAATCCCTGTCCTGAGGTTGCCTGTAAGAAATTGCTGCCTAAGAATAAGACCTTAATTTTCGGAAATTCATACACTTACATCCACTAAGTTTAACAGTATATGTATAAAAATATAAATAGGAAAAATATTTTAAAATTTTTCATTTTAATTTAATATACATAATGAAATCCGTAAGTCGTTGTTAAAATGTGTATGACTAAAAATTGATTTTCATATTAATTGATCAGCTGTCAAATTAAGTATAAAGAGTACAATAATGCAATAATATTAATCATTAGAACGTCGTAACATTTAAAATTCAGACTTTTGGCAAAGTTTTACCTACTTTCACAATCTATCGATAAAATTTTCGATGCCAACTACATGACTATTTTCAATTTTACAAAACCTGGCAACCCTGCAAATGTCATTATACTCTATCTTCAAAAAACTATAACTGGTTAGGCTGCTAACAGAGAATTGCATGTTTGCAGTTAATGCGTGAAGTCGTTATTTGAGACCTCAACTGCATGAAGTCGATAACGACTTCACGCATAAACTGCTTGCAGTCGAATCCACGTCATGCAGGCGAGATCGACTGCATGAAGTTGATTACGACTTTACGCATTTACTGCAAACATGCAGCCTTAGATAAACCACCTATTCTTGTATCTCTTCCTTAACATTACAATGAATTAATTATTTTCTTTTTTCCTACCAGGAGTCAAGTTTAGACGAGTGCTGGGACACAGAATCTACCGAGTCCGAAGAAAATGAACCTCCACCGAAGAGAGCAGCACCGTCGAAATTCTATGCAGCTAATACTATATCAAGACCTATGATTATTAATAAAGACAACCTATCGTCATCATGTGTTCGTAACAAATTACTCAATATGCAAAAACTAAAATCACTTACACCTGTATCGGATATAAATAGGCAAATCCCAAAAAATCCCCCGAAACGGTCACTAATAGTCAAACATATTCCAGCGAATTCGTTACCATTAACGGAATTATCATCACAGCAAATTCGCAAAGTGAATAACCTTGTAAGCATGGAGGCCCCCAATGGCCAACGTCTGTTTTTCCCCATTACTTATCCAAAAAATGAAAATGGAACTATTCAACAAATTGCACTACCAAATACACAAAGTAATATTACCGTTAAAAAAAATGGATTGCCAAATATACTTAGTAATATTATCGTTAAACAAAGTGGATTGCCAATTGCACAGAGCAATATTATTGTAAAACAAAATCTGACGCCCATTACTCAAAATAGTATTACAATTAATCAAAATAGAAAGTCAATTACACGAAGTGACATTATCGTTACTGAAAATAGGATTACACAGGGTGATAATAATTTTCCAAAAATAGCTCGTGTAGTAGTAGATATGTATCCAACTGTAAGAATCGAACAGCTTACATCTTCTCAAAGAAATTAGAGCAAATGCAGCAGCGGTAAATCGAATATGGTCGAAAGGTGTCCATAATATACTTCAAATATGGGAAGTTCCCAACATTCCCAACAAGAGAAGTGAATATACAAGATATCAAAATCAATGAGAATAGTAAATCATGTAAATAAGACTATATTTGTAAGAGTTACCAAACAATAAACTGTTTGTTATTTATTTTGGCTTATTTTTAAAATGGCTACAGCCATAACCTTTCACATTATAAGCAAACATCGCACCCTAGGTGTGCAATAGGCCACATCTGTAAAATTACAACTTTTCAGATTCTACGACCGACAGAGCTATACCAGAGAATAAAGAATAAGAGAACGGACACTGTCCGCCCCTCCCTAGTTTTAGATACCTCACCACGCCCCGCACATTGCCGGAGTGAACGACAACAAGGCTGCCGGCGAGCCGTTTTCGCGCGAAGACGGCTTTGATATTTGAATATAATTTTCATTTATTCATTACGAAACTTGTACGTTAATATAAAACATCATTTTACGTTACTATTTATAATGGTTGTGAATTGTGCTGTGTACAGCTGTTTATCATCATTTTCCGAAAGATGAAACGAAGTAAGTAAAAGACCTTATGTCTGACACTCATTCAGTTATTGTTTTTTTCATTTATTTACTGCAGAGATATGTATGTACAAAAAATACAGATTTATTATATCAATATAATGAATGAGGCGCCATGACTTCGTGAGCTAGTAGACAAGGGTTCTCGAATTTTCTATTCGTATTGCCGACAAATATTACGTAGGTAGTGAATATATCTAATTATTAACTAAACTTGGATACACAATTTCAAATACCTTGGTTACCTAACTTAAAAGTACATGTACATGCTTTTAATATATTTTTGAAATAAATCTTCAATATTACTATAGTTAGTGAATTAATGAAAAATATAGTAATATATCGATATAAATACCTAATAGACATGTTTAATTATTAGGATTCTATTAATATAATCATAGATAACAGATTCGCGTTAGAATTTTCGCTATGTTGCCGCTCTGACCACGTAGCGTAATAGTGTGAGAAAGTGATAGGTAACCCTGCCACTTCACGCACACATTTGTGCGTGTCCAGATAGCGCCTTGCTGTATATAGTAGTAGCAGGTAAATAATTTTCGACCGTTGTATGGAGTGTCCGGGGTGTGCTATTACATAAAACACATATACATGATTGCTTCATGTAGTTTGTATTATTTTTGTAATAAAACACTTGACGTGTGTTCACATGTGGCATTATTATTAACGAAATATAGATTATTTTTTTAATAAAACAACCCCTTAACATCCAAGCGTGGTAAAAGTTCGACTTCTTCAGCAAGTTCTTTGTAGGTACAACAGAAACTGTACGCGCCGTCGTCGCGCCAGCGCAGCCACGAGAAATTCGGATTCATCTCGCACACGTCGTTGCAAAACGCCATATCCGATATCATCTTGTTATTTATGTAAGGAGAGTTGATGATGATGAATGCTGTCGCTGTTTTGCCCACAGGATCGTAGATTACCTATAAAAAAAAAACTGATTATGAGGCCATTTAAAGCCTCGCGAAACGAAAAGCGAAAAATCAATTTCACGAGTTCATAACTATGCATGATCGTTGCATATGAATCTTGTAATCGATTTTAATACCTCACTTTATACATTTAGGTACCTACCGTTTTACAACAAATCAATCGCCATTTATTGATTATATATCAGCGCTAGATATCAGCGCAAAAGTGGTGTAACCCACATTTTATTTTTTTTTCTAAAATATTACTTTAAATGACTAAAGTAAATATTTATATACCATTTTCATGTATAAAAAATATTTCATTATTAAACATAGTATACCATTTAAAGTAATATTGTATAAAATTGAATGTGGGTTACACCATTTGCAAAGATAGTCAAAAACGAACAACTTTAATGGCCGATTTACACTCAAGTCGCGAAGTAATTAACGAAATTGATGTGTGTAAACAAAACAGCTGTTAAGTAATCAATGTCGACAGATAAGTGAATAATACATTAGAATCAAACCTATGTTTTGATGAACTAGCCGACCTCCAACAACCCGCGCATTCCCAGGTGGGCGTGGCTTGAATTTTTTGCAAAATGTCAAAATACAGCTTCACTTAAACAAGTTGTAATGGTTGGGCCAGCGCAAACCGACGGATGGGAAGGCACAGGACATAATATTTATCAATTTTCAATGTTATGGCTTTCAATATATATATATATATATATATATATATTGAAATAAGGTTTAAATTTCTATACTCTGAGACTGACTTCGGATTTATTGAAGAGAACGCTTGAGGACACTACGGATATGCGCCGAAATCCACCGGTATGCGCCGGAGTCCACTGGTATGCGGCGGAATCTACCAGTAGGCGCCGGAATTCACCGGTATGCGGCGGCATTCACTGATATGCGCTGGAATCCACCAATATGCGTTGGAATCCATCGGTATGCGTCGGAATCCACCTTTTCGACCGCGTAGTCCACAGTAGCAGGGATTGAAATCCAAGCAACCCTTTGCTGCCCTTTTACTACCGTAATACAGTCCACATCGACAACCTCAATAAAATTTAACGAACCTTAAAAAAATACAATGGAACGGGAACGATATCATTATTGTTGTCGTCTTTAGCAAGATATATTGGTGTAGAGACGTTCTTGGCGTTCGGCAGGCTGAGAACTCCGTGCGTGCCTGTGTACACGGTCAGAGTCAGATTGTGCCTGTGGGCTCGGCTGCGGACGCTCTGAAACAATAAGTCTAGATTCACAAGTATTTCTATAATACTTATATTCTATAAAACACTGGCACAAGACTTGCAAAGTTGCCTCTTTAGCATCCTTGGATGGTTTGTATGTACTCCTTGTGATAGAGTTTGTCCAGGGAAGTATTACTACCTTACGCAGTAATGTGAGCATTACTACGTTTCGATATAGAAGGGTAAGGGTGCTGGTAAAATTACAGGCACATGGGACTTGTCAACGTCTGAGTGTCGTAGTGGCGATGCCCATTAGATCTTAAAGTTCTTGAGTGGCACTGTAACTGTTATGGATAGGCGTGTCGCTTATCACCAGGCGCACGACTTGTTCGTCCCGTCACTTGACATAATAATAAAAAAAAACTAATAAAATAAAAATTTTTCTTATACTAGTCATGCAACATCGTTTCTCGAATGATACGAAACGGAAAATTTTGTAAAATAAATTCATAAAAGTCAAGTTTGTCAAATCCCCTCCTTCCATTATCGATCAGATTGGAGATATCCAGGCCGGGTTAATAGTATCAGCAGCTTGATTTTGATTGCCTCTCCCGATCGGAAACTGCGTCTTTTCCGAGTCGAGGCGTATAATATTGCGGATGGGCTACCCGATCGAATCGATTCCCATTTGAATTAAAATCAGGGCCCAGGAACAAATGAGCATGTATGAAGAGGGCTGATGGTAGTGGAGAAGACGAAGGAAGTTTGTTAGGAGTGCAGCTGGTAGAGGTCAATGGTGTCTGCCTACCCCGGTGGGAGACAGGCGTGATGTTGTACCTATTGTAAGCTAAGTAATTAATAGATTCAGGCGTTACTTTGCGGAAGTCCATGTTAATAAAAAAGGAAGTAAATTATTTTGCTACTCCGCGAACCCAGTGAAGCTTTAAGCTGGTTTGCACCATTAAACGGTGCAAACCAGCTGCGTTTGTGTTGAATAATTAACTGCATGAAAAAATATTCAACACAAGCGCAGCTATTTTGCGCGATTTAACCTTCACTTGGTTCGCGGAGTAGCAAATTAATATACTTCCATTTTTATTGTATATTAGTCAGATTCTTAAAAAATTATAGACTCTTGGAGGAGGTTACATCGACAAGAGTCTGGTTCTTAAATAAGATGATGATGAGACTCTTAAATAAAATGCTCTGGTTAGCTCTGTGTTACGGGAATAAACGCAAGACAGGGGTGAATTCACCGAATTGCGAAATGTGTAGAATTCCTGAAGATTATCATTTGCTCGTATAGTATGTTCGGACGAACCTATCTTGGTACGTTTATTTGCACAGGTTGGTTCCCGTACATTTAATGTTTCGTGGTTTCCATCCTTTTTGCCGAAGCCAACATGTACCCAGTAATTTGTAGATTTTGTATACATGTTTGATTACCTAGTATTTTTTTATGGGGCTGACATGTTATATTGTAAAAACAAATTAAAATATTGTTAAAAGAATCCCGCGTCTCGACACCACTTTAAGGGAATAAATTCAGTTGACACTTACATCTTCTAAAGCAGCCCAGTCTCCTGCATTGCCGCGCAGCCACTGCGGTCCTGTGTTAATGTAGTGGAACGACGCCCGTTGCTGCGCGCGCAGCGAGAAGTCCGCGCGAGGGGCCAGGTGACCGCGAGTGAGGAACTGGAACCAGAACCACCAAAATTTTCAGTTTCAATCAGTGCCGGCTTTATCTATAGTGGTTTACATGGCCTTGGGACTCGCCAAGCGTCTCTCGCGACGCACCCAAAGAGCTTGCGCCTCTCGTGGCGCAAGGAAGTAAAAGGGCTATTGCTTTCCAAAATCATTTATAATTGCACCATTTCCACACGAACTTCCAAATTACATAAAAATTCTTACATAAAGCTCACGCCCTTGTCCCACAGGATAGTAGGCTGAGACCACGGAACACCACCTGATACAAAACTTTCTAGCATCACATAACTTTAACTACCCTTTTCGTTGTATGAAAATCCCAGCCTATTTGAGGACATCACTGATCTGGTCAATGTAAGTCCTTCTGGGACGTCCTCTCTTCCATCCACATTCCGACCACTGTGGAAAACATAAGTAGGCATTCCATTTTGATCGCGTGACAGATGGCGTCAGATTATTGATTGCATCCGGGCGCTACGATATCTTGACTCCTTAGGTACACATTTTTCAGTATGATTTTTGTACGCAAATGTACCTATCTATCAATGAAAATAATTGAATATCCAATAATTCTAAAATTTCGCGACTAGAATGGACAAATTCACTAGTTTTTCGGGGTGCATTCAGATCTAAGCTAGGAGATGTGGTTCTCGAGATTCAAAAATGGTGCCGCCCATAGACATATCTATGTCTGTGGCGCCGCCGGACCGCCGTAATAAGCTTATTACAGCGTAGATAGTAAAACACCTCAGTAACTTGAAAACAGCGTAACAACTAAATATCTAGTGTTTACGACTAAAACCGACAAAATCACGACTTTTTAGTGTAATGATCTAAGCTAGGTGTTGTAGATCTCGAGATTGAGAAATGGTGCCGATGGAATAAGCTTATTCCAGCGTGGACAATAACTATTATAACTCATTAACCCATATCTTTTGAACGGCGGATCGACTAAATCTAGTTTTTTGCAACTAGAACCGACTAAATTGCGACTTTTTATCTGACTGGTCAAATTTCAAAAACTCTACCATGACCACGCTGGAATTACGCACGCCGCCAGCACTGGTGTCAATACCACATAAAAATAATTGATTGTTATTTTATTTCATTATGTTAAAACCAATGGTCGGAAAAAGGTGTTCCATATACATAGATACATGTATAAATATTCTGAACTGACAGCCTTGTTGCCATTCCGTCAATGTGAGCGTCAATATGCGGGGTGAGGTGCGGTATCTAAACTTAGGGAGGGGCGGAGAGTGACCATTCTCGTTATTTTTTATTCTCTGCTTTGGTAAAAGTTCCGTTATCCATTTTTTTACAATCTGGAAATTCGGAATTCGAAAAAGTAATTTATTAATATTTGGTGGTTAACAACTCTAGGTAGCTCCTTGTAGCTATAACTATACATGTATCTATTTACGTGGTACACCTTTTTCCGATCATTGGTTATAACTAAAACTGGGACTACGTAATACTTGCCTGTTTTTTAGTGAGTTGCTTATCGGAAATTTCTTCACCAAGTAAGGCAGATAGCTGCGCTTTTTGATGCGCAAACTTGTACAACTTAGACATACGCATTTTCCCGAAAACAGTGCCCTCTGAAAGAATATGACGGCATAATATAAAAACAATACCGAGAAGGTTTAGATCTATTCGCAACCCTTAGCGAATAGGAGGCGGTAGATTGTTCCAAATCTTTACTTTATTATTTAATTGAATACAATATGCAATATAATTTTCCTTTAAATCTTGCATAATACCCGCCATACAACTTATTCTACGGTTTCTAGATAATATGTTATTCGGGAGTTTTTGAGTTATAGGTACTCGTAGGTATAAAGAATCGTACTTACATTAAAACACATTTTCGAACATGAATCGGTTTCCTTAAAAAAAATATTTCCTAAGAATAGTGTTCGGAAACAAGCTCATCACCCCTTAAATCAACAAAATGTACCAACATCTGTCGAAAATAAATTCGGGTTCAGACGATACAAATTTAATGTCACCTCTCGAGGTGCAACTGAACCCGGGACTGGATGCGAACCAAATTTAATTATTTTTGACAAGAAACTGGTCCCGGGATCACACGATACACGCATTTGGGTTCATTCGGTTTCCATTGCAACTTTAAACCTACCCCGGGTACAGATGCTACAAACCCGCTATTTCCATGCTATTTGGCACAGGCTATAGTTACTTACATCGAAGACTTTGTTTGGCAATAGGTGTGTGTCAATTGGAAGCATTTGGAAACAGAATAGTCTCCGTCTGCGCATACCTACAGTAGTCGAGTACATATAATTATATGGAAACATGTTCGCTACTAGTACCAGTTTGTACCCAACACGCGACAAGGGACCAACTTTGTACCGCGACAAAGCGTACTAAGAAGGCAACGTGGTTGGAGCTATTACATTTTGTTTCATGATATCAAATAATGTGTTAAGCGACAGGCCTGTCCATAGCAGTTTGGGGCTACATTTATTGTACCTTTAGAACTTCTGGTTGTAGACGACTACCATACCTATAAATTTGGGTCTAGATCCGGGCTGTACGAACTTGTTGGTAGGCGACACGTGATGCTTCACGTACAAGGTGCTAAGTAGATTCATATCGAAACAGGCTTCGTACAGAGAGTAGAACTCGCCCCGTACTTTGTAACCCACTCTGAAATAACAGGTAAAGAGTTTTTGATACATAAAAATGTTCATTGCGTCATCTTATGGGCATATATAGAAAACATGCTGTTTTTTGTATAATAAGTCTTTTTCATAGATGGGTAGCTATACCTGGTGGTAAGTTAACGCTATAACACTCGCGCGCTGCCACTGAGATAAGTAAAACTACCTACCTGTTGTAATTTGACCAGTAAGTATTCTTACTTAAATTACTGCTTGGTGCCAAAACATAGTTATAGCAGCAGTCCCTGGACGAACCCTTTCACTTTAGACTCTACTGCTACTAAATTTGTTGAACTTGGGGGCAAAAACCGCCGTAAACAAATCGTAAGCCAATTACAGTGTTCCGATCAAAACTTAACGACAAATGCGAAGCAAACGCAAGTGCAGACGACACTACACACTACGTTTACATACGGATTTCTTAATTTTCGTGATTGACCGATTACACATTAGACATGAAACTATTTTTTCGAGTCGTAAGGTTCAATTTATATCGCGGCGGAACGGAATGGAAGCGAATTTTTGTAACGATATTGTACATAACATAATGAACTCTATGGTCAACAACGTACAAACTAGATACAAGCCAAAATCGGTCATCCGCCGCAATATAAATTGAGTCTAACTCGCGATTATTTGTTTTCTCCAATCAAACTGGCGTTTCGATGTTTTTACAAGTTCCACGCAAACAAATTGCGTGGAACTTGCGCATGCGCAATTTAGACCCGAAAAAAGTACATACATATCGTTGCGTAAAATGCTTTAATGTCCAGTTGTGTATCTGGCATATATGTTTACCAAATTCTGATGAATTTATTTTGTCAGTTTTACCGATGGTTCCTCATAACACCGTAGCATGTTCCGATGTCCTCTGTGGTGATCCACGGTTGGGTTTTACAACGGATTTCTTTGAAATCACCAGTCCAGCCCGCACCAAAGCGGACAGTCTTGTTCGCCACGCAGTGCACTTCCTGATAAATAGTATAAACGAATATACAGGGTGTAATCTTTAAGTGTGCCAAGGTGAATTATTCTGTAAATACAAGAGATATCAAAAATCTTTTAACTGATATCAAAAGTAGGTGTGTTTCTTAATGAGTAAAGCGACTACCTACGAGTACCTGCTAATACCACCATTTTTCTGATACAATACCTGCCGCGGCGACGTCATGAAAAAGTACTACGAATTATTTACGTGGACGTCGTTTTTTCCTCGAACATTGTCGGTGTTCCTTAAGCCAATTTATAAACATAATAAGGTATTGATTGTTTATTGAATCTCACGATGTTTTACACGCGACGACGCTCGCTTTAGTGCGCCCGGACCACAGTGTGGTCGGCGTTGTATAACACAAATTTGTACTTTAATAATGGGAAAATAGTGATGAATATGCTATGGGCGAAAACATGACGCGTCGCGAAGCTTCGACTCCGCGCCAGTGTGAGTTGAGCCTTATAAATTTTGTATTGGGTTATTTCGGCTTTCAACGCCGTCAGCGACATCTTGTGAGAGATTCATGAACCTTGTGTAATTTATTTAGTTATTTTAAGGTTCATCAACAATTGTTACAACAACATTATGAATGATATCTGTTGGGGTAGGTAAGTACCTACTATATTAATTGCACATTTTTTTTACAGACGAACACAAAATGCAAGTACTTCTTGAAGAAAATAAATAAATCTCTGTGTAAATCTTTAAATGTTATGGCCCCATCGAAATAATCGATGGTTTCGTTAATATCAAGTGGAGGAGCACACGCGTTTTCACTCAAAAATTGACCAGTGATTTTCGACAGAATGCACTGAAAGGAGAATCTACAAAACTCCAACGACAGACAGACTATTACAGAAACAAATTGTTTTTTAAATAAATTTACACAGCACATGCACAAAGGAAGAGTGGACTGACGCTAGGAGGAAGATTATCGGTGCGGGGGATTTTAGGAGGGAGGATATCATACAGAGGAGTGACGATACGATTACAGTGAAAAAACAGGTGCTCGAGGGAACCTTCTGCCAGATCACACTCGCACAGGGAGTGGTCTCGAACACGGATCCCAGCCAATAACACAGGAGTACTTACATATATGGGCCAGGCGAAGGCGAATAATTGCGGAGGTAATATTTTACGGAATCGATTTCCTAGTGAAGAACCATGGTTTAGAGGATAGGTCAGGCTGGATTTTACCATAAAATTTATCCAAGATTGTCAACGACGTGTAACATGTTTTCCTGTTACGTCAACCCAAGTCGAATACTTTTAACTACAGGATAGACTATCCACTTACCAAATCATTTAATCCGGTAGAGTAATTTCCTAAAATTACTGCCTGTCTATCACCAGGGCAACCGATCAGCACGACTTCACCACGACCGAGTCTCACATCGCCTTGGTTATTTGGACTCAGGTATGAGCCTTTGCGGAGTAAAACTGGTGATGGGTTGCCGAAGTCTTCCTTTAGGGAAAACACACAGTCTGAGGAAGAAATTCATTCTAAGGACGTGTGTTTCCAGACGCTTAAATTAATATAATGTACTTATTAACCCACAGTGTACTTGTTAACCCATTTATGACTCACTGTTGAGCCTGAGTCTTTAAAGAAAGGAGACCACTGTGTGCCGTCCTCGTTACACTAAAACGTGAAACACACAGAGAGGGGTTGCGTGTCGGGCGCGAGTCGGGTCGGACGCGAGTCGGGTCGGGTCCGCGGCGGGTCTAATTCCGTGTATACGCCGCGCTCGGTGTGTTGTCGTCCATATAAATACACGGAATTAGACCCACCGTGGTCCCGACCCGACCCGCTCCCGCTCTCTGCGCGTTTCACGCTTTAACCCTTTCATGGACAGTATAGGTACTTAATAATATAATAATAACGCACACAGTCATAGCCCCGCACTAGGGAAACCCTGTACCGTGGGTGCCACGGACAGACACATAGACAACCACATATTACACCCAAACTCACGAGAGAAATAAATGTAGGCCATACAAATAAATATTTCTCACGGCCCAGGAATCGAATCCGGGACCTCTGCGTAGCAGACCAGCATGTTAACCGTTCGCTCATGGAGGCAGTACCGCACACGAAAATGTCAGAACTTTTGTTGCTGTGGTGCTTACATTCAATATAAAATGTTCAACTCGTGAATGATTTACATTGAATTTTGTCAGTACGTTGTTTTTTGAAAGAAGTATTTCTTTATGGAAAAGCAGTAGGCGGCAAGTACACAGAAAGCACTTGGAGATCGCGTTGTAAAGTTGGTTTTTTGAGATCCACGTAGCGGAACGCGGTACCCCGTACTATCATATTTTATTATTTAATTTTGCAGTAAACGCTGCTACTGTGCATGAATGGATTAAAAACCATTATTAGGTTTGCCGTCTGCTTTAAGTGATCCTAACTCTACGATGCTAAAATAGAGTACATGGTTTTCCTTGTTTAAATGCAGAATATTTTGAGCAAGTAATTATTCCAAGTAATTTATATTCATATTTAACAAACTTGTGCTAATGGACAATTAGGTAATTACACAACCTGTCTGCACTCGTAGAAAATCAAATACTAGAGAAACTTACCTGCACTGGCTCCAACAACAGAGCTAAACACGAACAACAACAAACAATTCGAAATCATTTCTGCACAATTATTCGATTTTCAAACAGAACGCGGTTCAAAAACTCTTTATTAATCACTAAAATTCATTCTTCGAAACATATTAAATGAAATTAACTGTAATTGCATTGCATGTGCAGGAATTTAATAAAGTGGATGCTAAACTGGAAAACACGTCGGCCAACCAACGGTATTAATACATGACTGAGAGAGACTCATTTACGGTTGAAAATCAATGTGATAATACGTCATCATCATTGCCCCTACCACGGAGGTTTTGTTCGAAATCAGTTTCAGTTGAGTGTAATGTAGTAGGTAGGTAGTGATAATACCTCATATCTTGCCAATCTCAAACTGAAGCTTAACAAGATCGATAACTCCGATGAACTCTACGCCAACCTAATTTTTAGACCTGTTCTGTTTTAATTTTGTTTTTTGTCTTTTTTTCCACAAAATTCGTTTTTTGTTTTCTTTTCGTTGTCGTTTTTTGTTTCTATATTATTTTTTTCACAAAATTTAGGGAGATTATTACTAGAAAATAAAAATAATTTAAAAACGACCAAAAGATAACATTGGCGCATTGTTAATTGCAGATACTGAGATGTAAAAAAGACCGATTGGAGAGGGTTGTAGGTCTCGTTTTGCCGATCCCAGATATTTTTAACCGACTTAAAAAAAGCAGGAGGTTCTCAATTTGACTTTATGTTTTTTTTGTAAATATGTTACGCGATAGACTTGTGAACCGATTTTAATGATTCTTTTTTTGTTGGAAAGAGGGTACCTCAGAAGAGGTTCCATTTAAATTTGAAGAAAATAGTCCACGTCTAAAACTGGCAAACTAGGGGATGAATCCGTTTTAATTTTAATTTTTGTTTTGTTTGTGGTATTTAACTTCAAAAAAGGAGGAGGTTCTCAATTCGACTGTATATTTTGTTTTTTCATATATTTTTAACCGATTTTGATGATTCTTTTTTTGTTGGAAAGCCCTCTTTTACCTCAGTATTGGTCCCATTTAATTTAGTTTAAATTTGAAGAAAATATTCCACCTCTAAGGGGATGAATCCGATTTCGATAAAACTTGGCAAATAGATGTAATTCCACGAATATTGGACGTCGGTTTTTTTAGTACTCTGTACTGAGATAACTCAATTTCGCTAAAAATGTCGATTAGGTTAGTTGTGATAATGAGTGCAGTATTTCTGTCGTACTCGTATATCCTCAATTTTGTAGCACTCTTGGCAGACCAGTCGTGGTTATCATGAGGTTATGTTTGCCAGAGGCTGATGTGGTTCGCCTAATCGACATCTCGCGATCTCACTATATCGCACATCCGGCGAAACAGTGACTTAACTTACATTTATAAATCGAGTTCTTAGGTTTTTGCAATTGTTACACATAGGAATGAAACTATTTTTCCGGATTTAAATCGCGTATATTTGTTTTTCAAACAAACTGACGTTTCGGGCCCTTTACAGGTCCCATTGTCACGGTTGACTGAGGTGGTACAGTCTTCAACCAGTTATGTCTAATATTAATGCAAACCACCCTATTTTTTCACTATAGTTAAAATAGTTATTAATTAAATACCTTATTTTTAATTTTACAAAGAAAACATTCCAATTTACTCTACATTTACAAATTATTTTATTGAATGAATTTTTGTTTAATATATATTATATATTATTACATTTATAAAATTACAGAAAATTAATAAACATTTTGTATTTAAGCTACTGAGCATATTGGAAGAGCTCTTAAGTGTTATCTGCAGGTACTCTTTTAATGCCCATTACGCCCTATATAGAAAAATTGAAGAATGCATAAACACGTCTCTGTTTTTCCGTATACATTACATTTTAAAAATGGTTTGGGATAACAATTTTTTGCAGTTAAAGCTGTGTTTTACCGGAGGTTTTTTTTGTAATAATAAGTGACGGGACGAACAAGTCGTGCGCCTGGTGGCAAGCGACACGACTATCCATTACAGTTGCAGTGCCACTCAGAGCTTTAAATCGCAAAGATACCCTGAGACTTAAGTTGACAAGTCCCATGTGCCTGTAATTTCACCAGCACCCTTAAAACCGGAATGCAGTAATGCTCACATTGGCTTGGCGGCAGAAACAGGTACTTCCCCAGACGAACTCTTTCACAAGGACTCTACTGCTACTACAAGTCTTGCAGTAGCAGTAGACATGCCTAAACTAGGCTAATATAGCCTAGATTAGGCATTTTTAGATGTTTAAATATTTTTATAAAATACCAAAGTAACTTAATTAGAATTTAAGTTTATTTTATTGGTATACTGTTATTTAAATATTATAAATATTTCACATGTGTATGTAGTTGTATGTACACTACCTATTATGTCGGTTTTCTTATCTGTTTATTTATTTTTGTTGAGTTCTGTATTGTAGTCAGTGGCTCACTCGTCCGGGCTTCCTGAAAACCAGCGCCACGAAACGGTTTAAAAAAGCCTTTTGTGGCTAAAGCTGAGCAAGTCCCGATTGCACCAGTTGCGACACGCATGACGGTCCATTAGGTACTTCGTTATCAATTTTTTTAATTCTTTTTATTTATTATTATTATTATATAATTATTTATTTTAGATTTAGATTTTGAGGACCTAAAAGATTAATTTTTATTTGTTATTATTATTGTTCCTCTGTTGTTTTGGTTATATGCGTGTCTATGTTTGTGTAATAAAGTTTTCTTCCTTCTTTCTTTCTTAATTACGACCTTATTATTTTTGCTGTAATTGAATGAATATAGAATATTTTGACAGTTCGTACCCGTGGTATAATAAAGGCATAGTCGAAGATACATCAAAAGCGTTTTATTTTTTACATGAAAGGCATAAAAATAATACAAAGTACATGAAACAAATTATGTGTCTACATGTGAAATTTTATAGCTCTCCTGTTTAAGCTAAACATTATCGACTAAAGGATGATTCAATTTCTAACCTAACCTAACTTAGAACGTACCATGATCGGGCCGTGTCATGGACGGGACACGGTCAAGCATTCTTTGTAGAGCGTGGCGATTTCTCCTTCTGATTCTTGTTTTCTTCATCAAGTTCTCCGTCCGAAACAATTGACTATCAAATAGATACTTTTGGGTGTTTTAGAACAGACGGAAATAATTAAGTACAACAACAGGGATTGTATTTATAATAAATGAACAATTGAATTTTGCATCGTCACCTTTATTACGGGTATTTTCGGGTCTTAACAATAGCAACACTATGTGTTGCGGGGTATAAATACACCAACCGTTCTTAACGAGCTCACTCTTCGGCCGAAGGTCGATCAGTCTAGTCTCTGAGGATGCCCATTGAAAGGCGAAGCATGTGTCGGGTTTATTTTTGGTGGTGGTTTGGACTGTAGTTGCGCTTGTGTTATTTATTTTAATAATTTTATGCTGAGGGAGGGCGGGATAATTAACTGCATGAAAAAATATTCAACACAAAGTAACAGAGAACGGCAGCAGATCCCGTGCACCGAATCTACTTTTTTGTGTGTATGCTACGCGATTATTCCAAAATTTGTGAATCGATTTCGATGATTCTTTTCTTCTTGGATCTTTTTTTGGACTTCAGCAGCTTGATTTTGATTGCCTCTCCCGATCGGAAACTGTGACTCTTCCGAGTCGCGGCGCATAGTTGCGATTCACAACTGGTCGATCGCAAACTTTGGACATTTGAAATCGGAACAATAGTTGATTTAACTCACAAATTAGAAAGATATAGTAGGTATCAGGTTCATCTTCTCACTCGGAAACCCATCTGATTTCGAGACTCGGATGGGCTACCCGATTGGATCGATTCCGACTTGAATTAAAATCAGCCTATTGTAGTGATCTTATTCAACCAATAATTAATCCACCTCTAAATGGTGGCAAAATAAAGGATGAATCCGGTTTATCGAATTTCACCCACTTTCCGTTAACCGATTTCAACAAAACATGGCACGTAGTTTCAGTTCTTCATAAGAAACTACTCGATATCATCAATAGTTGCGAAGACTCAGTGAAGTCAATTTTGTATAACGGTCATCTTGAATTCGCCATATTAGAAAAAATGTCGTAACCTGCATTTCAAAGAGGGCTGACAACCCTTGGACAATGTGTGAAGTCCCGTAATTCCAATAAAAATAAAATGTTATGGTGACCTACAGCTGAACTGATTGATGATGGAAATGCCATACAGATGAGAGGAACCCCTCAAGAATGTACTGCAGGTACCTTGTGTTTGGGCACATAATTATGATTCATTTTGACGAGGATTTCCATACGCGTTTCAGCTATCGGAGAAGAGACCAAACGGTACGCTACCGAACATAGCGAAGGGGGACAAGCAACTTTTGAGGTCTTTTTTTTTTATTAAAAAGTTATTGTAGTTTCGATTTGTGTTTTCAAACACTTCGTTAAAAGTAGCAATTCCAACACATGTAGTGTTATCATTCATACGGAAAACAATAAAAAGAAAATAACAAATCTTATTGAAATTGAAGACTGTTCACAACACTCGACACATGTGCGGACACGGTTATGCGACAATTGTAAACAACTAATAATAAGTTGTGTAGCATGAATGACTGTCCCGACTGACGCATGGTGAATCAGTCACGGCGCGAACACAATCCGGCCCCAGCATAGTGTAACGCGAATCATCCTATTCGTTCGTAGAATCTTGAAAAGTTTCTCCTGAAAAATTTTTCAGATATTTGACGTCATGTTTTGACAACTTCCGTGGTCGAGAATTTGGCATATCGGTTTCCATGGTATAACCATCTCTGAGGTCCCCGGTTTGATCCCCGTCTGTGTCAGCCCCCATCTCGATCTACATTAGTTTTGTTTATAGTGACCCTCCCTACTGCCGTCCACTAACTACAACGCGGCTTAGTGACAAATGGTCAAATACCCTTTTTAAGTAGAAAAAAATATAGCACAAAATTCTCTTTTGAAAACAGTCAAATTTAGTTAATGTGTTGGACTTATCGGAACGTACCCTAACGATGCATAACTGAAATATCATTAAACATTTTCCATATTCTAAAAGTGAGTTATGGTTTTTTATGAAATCTCAAGTTTGGTTCTGTGCACGCACAGAAACCTTCTAAGTTCAGGTTGTGATCCCAGATCAGCCAGTGTACAGGTTTCCATACATTGTTATTTTACAATGCGTG